GCACATGTTCGACCGTTATGGCTGCCAAAAGGGAAGCCGGTTCCTTCAAAAGAGCTGCTCCAGGATAACATGAAGTGGGGGGAGAAAAAAGCAAGATGGCCCTCTGGAGGTTTAGTACCCTGGAGTACTGAGGAAAAGAGGAACAGAAGAGGGGCCAAGGAAAAACTGCCAGAGATCACTAAGATTAAAAATCAGCCATTTCATTTGCTTTGTTTGTATGGGGGGGAGGTCAGTATGGGGGTGGGTGTGTAAGTGGGGGGGTAGAGGACAACTTGTGGGACTCAGTTGTCTCCTCTCACTATGGAACTAGTCACATTCAGTAAGCAGATGGCCATGACTTTACTGCGGAATGTGAAAACATTCTTGAGACCTCTGTTCTATTTGAAGAGTGTTGAACATGTGGCCCAGAAAAGAATGATAAAAAACAATCCCAAAATACAAATGACATGGCAAAGAGACCCAGCATGACAAGACCTTCTGACAGAAGGGAAGGAAGAAAGGAACATGGCCGGTGTAAAATGGCTGCACATGAAGGATGATGGTTGTCCTACAGACTGGCCATGCTTTGCCGCTTTCTACGTGACAGTGAAGATGAAGCTGTAACCCCACTGAAAACAGTGCAAAGCAGATGTGCAGGAGAAAGGGCAGGAAACGGGCTGATGCGCCTTCTAAGACAGAAAGTTCTCTTTTTGCAGAAACTCAAATAGCCAGGCATGACTTACTCTGCCTTCCTTCATGCCTGACTGCCTGTCTGTCTCTATCTCTCTGTGCGTGCGTGAGTGCGTGCGTGCGTGCATACATGCGTTGCCGCCCTGGCTGTCCTGAAACTTGCTATGAACAGCAGACTGGTCTCAAACTCACAGAGATCTGCCTGCTTCATGTTTGGACTGAGAGAAAGACCACCACACCTGGCTAATTTATTTTAATAGTATTTTTCTTTAAAGATTATAATACAGTTGCATCATTCCTCCCTTCCAACCCTTCCATGTATGCCCCAACTTGCTCGCTTTCAGTCTTTTTCTTTAAACGTCGTTACAAATGCACATAGACACAACCTGTTCAGTCTGTACAACGTTACTTGTATGTGTATGACTATTTCAGAACTGACCATTTGGTACTGGATAGCCGACTGGTGTGCTCTTCCCTGGGAAGACTTTCTCACACTCTCAACGTTCCTTGGTGGCAGTAACTCTGTCTGGGCTTGAAGTCTAGTTGAGGCATTCCCCTTCCACATTAGCAAGTCTCCTGCTGTCGTCCTTGTTCAGATCTTATTTGGGCAGCCATGTTGGTGAGATTTCATGGGTGTAGCTTCTCTGACGTTTCTAGGAGACACTGTCTCACAACAAACTTCCCACACCTCTGACCCTTCCTGTCTTCCTCTCCTTCCACAATGATCACGGGCTGTAGATGTGGAAGGTGTTTTATGTATCATTTGGGACTGGGTTCCACACATCTTCATTTTGATAGGTTGTGGTTGTCTGTAATGGTCTCTGTAGCAAAGACAAGCTTCTTTGATGAGGGCCAGTCATGCAGTTTTAAAAATAAGTTTTATATGAAATAATTGACTGTGTGGCTTTTAGTTGACTCACCACTTTGTTGCTATTGTTGGCCATGCAACATATTTCCTAGTTACAGCACACCAATATACCCGACTCACACAGGACCAGGCATAAATTAAATTTCTTAAACACAAAAATTTCAAAATGGGTATGGTGGTAAGTGCCAGTAATCCCAGCATTTAGGAGAACAGAGGCAAATGTGAATCTTTACTAT